ATTGAATAGCATGTGTATAACTACGATTAGCATGTTTTGATGAAATCCAATAGTGATAAATTATATGTCATTCATACTGTTTAGGTAAAATAAATAGGCATATAAGTGGGTTTATAAAAAAAAAAAAAAAAGCTATTCGTATACATGATCAATGAGGGATGAAAAAATTCATTTTGAAAAATATGAGGGATAGAAAAATTCATTTTTTCAAATGTGAGGAACGAAACAACTCATTTTGTAAAATATTAGGGATAAAAAAATTTATTTTGTGAAATGTGAGGGACTATGAATCAGATTATGTAAAAATTTGATTTGACAATTTTGCCCTTAAAAAATGATCACATGCAAGTCACGTGGTGGATTCTGACCAAAAACTAGTCGGAAACCTAGGTAGGGACCAAATTTGATCAATGTGAATTTGTAAAGGACGTAAAATTACACTTTTAAAAGTGAGGGACGAAAAAAGTCGTCTTATAAAATATGAGAGACGTTTTGAATTATTTTCGCAAAAAAAATATATGAAAACAAGAAAGAGTCTTGAAGGTGTCATAAGGCATTTACAATGAATTGCACTCTAGAGTTAAAGAGTGCAATTCATATGCTATATCATCACTTTATTATTCCCTCTTTCATTATATTATCACTCACTGTAAATTACACTCTACATAGTATAATAGCATGGACCTATAATCAAATCAAGTATTTATCTTAATAGTTCTCAACACATATCTCATAAATAAATAAATCTATTTTTTGAAAAGTAATTTCATTTATTTTTGGAAAACAAATTTATTAACTTTTGTTGAAATTTTTGCATTCTAAAAATTTTTTATTTTCTGAAAAAATAATATTATTAATTTTTGAAAACTAATAGTATATATTTTTATGTATTTCAAAAATAATACATTGTTATTTTCTAAAAATAATTAGATAATTATTAAACAAATACCCAACACTTTAAAAAATTAGATAAGAGGTTAATGAAAACAAATGATACAGTAGAAGAAATGATGGAGTGGGAGAGTAAGAAATTGAGAAAATGTTAACAATATTTATAGACAAATTTTCGAGAATTGAAAGTGAAAAAAAAACACTGTTGCAAACTGGTGAAATTGAAACAACGCTACCATTATTTTACCATTGCAAACATGTTGAAAATTGGATTCAATTCAAGGGACCACTGCAAAAGTTTTGAATAATTGGATAAAATGAAACTGCTGCAAAGCTTTGAATAATTGGACAAATTAGACCCACTTTTTCAGCTTTTTTTTGCTTCAATTATGCATGTAGTGACTGTTATGCATGTAATAGGCATTATATTCTTACTATGGGAGAGTTTATAATGCATGGGTGTAATAAAGGGTAATTGTGGATACCCCATATTTGACCCCAAAAGGGCCAAAACTAGGGTTCAATGAACAAAATTGTACGGCTTTCGAACACCGTATACTAAGCCTTTCGAACACCAAATAAAAAGTCCAAAACTTCCCCGGTTGAAAGTTGTGGTGTGTTGTGGACTTTTTCTCACTTCAGCCCACCTCTAACCGATCCTGTGTGGCCCAATAATTTTCAGCAACCTAGGTGAAGAATATTAATGGTTTTGTTATAATCATTCCAAGTCATGTACTTTCATAGTTAGGCGTTTATTCTCGTTGCCCACTATGTTGATTGTAGCACTTCAAAGTTGATTATAAGTAGGGATAATTTCATAAACGTCCTCTAAGGTTTTAAACAATTTCACTGAGCTACCTTGAATTATTAAAAATTGTACTTACTGCCCTTGATTTGATACATTTGGTAATCAAACCCTAGAATTGGTCAAAAATTTAAATGAACATCCTAAAATGTCCTTGGTTTGTATAGTTTATATTGCTTTCCAAAACAATTGTAAACATATAGCATCAAATATAAAAAAAAAGCATCAAATTTTCAATACCTTTATTTATTATTTAATAAAAAATTACAATAGTTTTATCACTATGACAGGCTACTGTACATAGTGCTTTACTAGGGATACATATTCCCTGAAGGTTGGAGAAGAAAGTATTATCATAATTGTTTTAGAGTTTGTAGATTTTTGGAATGTTAGAGGTATCAATAATTTAGTAGTAGTTTTGGACAGTTTCTTTTTAAATCACTGTTGTTTTTGGTGCAAAGAAAAAAAAAGATCAACAAAAAATTAGATCAGATTCAAAGTTGTCAAAAAAAGGGGTCACTAATTCAACATTTGGTAATGATAACGACTAGAAGCAATATTTATAGTTTATAGTTCTGTGGTTTTACTTGTAAAATATGAAAAAAAAAAGAGGAATAAGAAGAGAAAAGAAAAAGAAAAAATAATTATAAATATCATTCTTTCGATATGCATACCCAACAAGGGGAGTTTTATTAAAATGGTAAAACTAATATTGCCATTTTAAATGGGCAAGGAAGATAAGTGTAATTTTTAAAATCTCAAGGGATCTCATTGAAATTGTTAGAAACCTCAGGGAAAGTTTTTGAAATTATTCCTTAAATTTAATCAAAAGAGAATATGAAAATATTCATGGGACATATATCAATTGGCCAAGAGGAAATAGATGAATTGGGTGGTTCAGAGAAAAAAGTATAAATATGAAATTTTGAATTCAAATCCTCTCTCACTGTATTATTTGAGTTTCCAAAAACTTGAGTAGAGTTGCCCACATATAAAAAATGGAGCAAGTAAGAATCACAAGGCCAGGTATCGGTTACACATTGTGAATGATATCTTCTCCCATCTAAAATATTGCCCTTTAATTGAAGGCCGAAACTTGAATTAAAGAACAAGAAAAGGGATCATCTGCTAGCCATGCTTGACCAGATTACTACTAATTAGCCTGCATTTCGGTTCTAACTCTTCAGAGTATTACCACTAATACCACTATCGTGGAAGTTTTCCACTTAAATACTGAGAATTGATATCAAACATTTAAAAATAGGTCTGTGGTATCATACCGATGAACCCTGTATTAAAAAGCAAGGAAAGGGATGGTTCCCTAGCCGTGCCTGACCCGAAGAACAGCCAGTCTCCCATCTCTCCCATTTTCCAAATGGTCCTTCAGAATGTGGAAGGAAGACTAATGAGTAATGAGAAGACTAGAATTAATTTCCAGTGGCCCAAGTAACATTGAAATGGGCATATACTTGTGTTTGAATATGAGATTATTTGGAATAATTTTTTTAAAAAGTATTATACTATTTTTTTGATGTGATATATATGAAATAAAAAAAGTGATTGAAAAATGTGTTTATGAAATAAGTAGATAATTTTGTACAATAATGAGCGTGCATTTAAGTCCTGACTCTTGAAAAGAAGTATTACTACTAATTAGTAGCAATTTTCACTTCTTTAATCCAATCATTTTCTTTGACCATTGTATATTGGTAACATTAATTTTGCAAGTTATCATTTTACTGTTTATATTTATTATCTTAGAGTTTACATTTATTATTGTAATGCATATATTTTATGATATAATTGACACTAGAAATTGCAGAAATCCCAAATTCTCTGCTGCCACAATTTCAAGGGTTGAAGAAGCCCTCAATTTTTTTTTTCTTATACTTTTTACTTTGTTGGTCATGGTTATTAATCTCCAAGATCAATGGTCATGATTATTAAAACGAGATAATTAGAAGAGAAAGTGATCGAACTTAGTGGTTTGCTCAAGAAAGAAAACAATGGAAGAAAATTAGAGAGCTAGTAGCTTGAAGGTTCATTATATTTTGATCATTTATATTGTGACGTCTCTTGGATCATTTATATTTTGATGTTTCTTTGTTTTCTGTTCTTCCTAAAGTTTAACATATTAAACTGTGGATGCTTGAAGCAAAAAAACAAACATATGAAAACAGGGACGCGCATATGTTATTGTCTTAAAACATAGGCTTTTATGTGACCTCTAATATCAAATTTCCCTAATAAAATGTTGATGACAGAGTCAACTAATCTTGTTTATCAATTTCCTCCATTTGTAATTAGTTCAAGATAAATTTGGATTTTGGGTGCCTAGTTGAATAATTGATTATCATTGCCTGGGGTCCACCTTGATGCCAATTCCACCTGGTTGAATTTGAATGGTTGGTTGTGTCAATACTCTTCTTCACCTTCTCACCAGAAACAAATAAGCAATTTTCAGGAAAGAAATACTTTGCTAGCTCTGCAGTTTGTGAGATTTGTTTCTCTCTTAAAATTTGAGAGTGAAACTGACGAAAATCTCTCTTAAAATAAGAGATGGAGATGGCCTCCACTTGCAGCGTCGATCGTGTCTTACTTGGTCTAGAGTTGCTTCTGAACAACCGATTCCTATACAATTTTTTTCTTTCGGATGTTGGTCCAAGAGTTATTTCGGATCTTCGTGATGCAATCAAACACATGAAATTTCTCAAAACATTTCTTATGTGCGCTAGAAAGTGGAGCCTTGTTCATTTGTACTTGCAATCTGACAACGTTGTGAAGAAGGTGAGTCTTCCATCTTTCTTATCTTGTATCGAAGATACCTTTCACAAATATGAGAAGGATATTCACTCTCTTTCCCTTTTTGAGATATATGGAGTGTCACACGCAATTGAGAAAGAGATCATATCACTCAAGCAAGAAATCATCCAAATTTACTTTGCTTTGGCAAGCAGCAGGTCATTTCAATCGAATTCTTGTATGACAGATGATGAACTGTTGGAATTCATAGACCTCATCCTCCAAAATCTAGCAGATTTGACAAATGACTATATGAATTGGGGAATTAATCAATATGATCCTTTGCTTGCTGCTTTGAGTGCTCAAGTCCAAGATCTTGAAGCAAAGCTGACATTCTTGAAAAGCTTCATTCCCTTTGCCAAAATGCGAGGAACCGCAGATATTCCTGCCTTGCTATTGGCTCACTTTGAAGTGGTGGCTTTGACCGCAGCACGCCTCTCTTACATGTGTTCTTTTTGGAAAAATGCTGAGGAAATGCACAATCCTCAGTTCTACTACAGAAGTACTTGCAGCTTCAAACTCCTCAGCATCAGAGCGGTTGATTTTCATGTCTACGAGATTTATAAGGAAGTACTTGCAGCGTCAAACTCCTCAGCATCATTACATAGAGCAGTGATGGATGAGCGGATATTGAACAACTTCAATGATTCTCTGATAGGTCGTCTCTGGGAGTTGTTGTGCTGCAGCTCTAGCTTTGTGGATTCTATGAAAGATGAAATGCGAATACTCTATGCAGGACTGAGGTTTTTGAGAAGCATTTTAAGGGAGCATCATGAGATGATGGATGAACAAAATGAAAAAATTGGAGCTCTCCTGGGTGAGGCAGGCATTATAATATTCGCGCCCACTCTGAGCAGAGTGATAGAAGGAGAAGTTAGCTTCTCAAGATCCACCCAGGTTCTTGGTTTTTGTGGTATGCTGGCCAATGCCAACATCCATATCAAGCATTTTAAGGATCAGATCAATGGCTCAAGAACTATAGAGAGTCTTCCTAATTCCTCTCATAGCTTAAGAGCACCAGAAGTTAGCCAGACTTCCAGCCGCATGCTATCAAAAGGTAAAATGCCAATAGACCATGAAGTCATGGTTGGTCTTGATGATGAGGCAGAAAAAGTAATTGAACCACTTATCAAGCATTTTGAGGATCAGCTCAGTGTCTCAAGTACTATACAGAGTCTTCCTAATTCCTCTCATAGCTTAAGAGCACCAGAAGTTAGCCAGACTTCCAGCCGCATGCTATCAAAAGGTAAAATGCCAATAGACCATGAAGTCATGGTTGGTCTTGATGATGATGCAGCAAAAGTAATTGAACGACTTGTAAGCGGATCAAAACAGGTGGAAATTGTTCCCATTGTGGGAATGGCTGGGCTTGGTAAGACAACTTTAGCCAAAAAGGTTTACAATGATAATTCAATTATCTATAACTTCCACATTCGCCTTTGGTGTACTGTTTCTCAGGAATATAACAAGAAAAGCTTGTTAACACAAATTTTGTGTTCTGATGGAAAACACTCTAGGATGGATAAGTTTCAAAATCTGGATGAAGATGACTTGCTTGAAAAGCTCTATCAAAGGCTATTGAAGAATCGGTATCTTGTTGTTTTTGATGATGTCTGGGACATTGAGGTATGGAATGGGCTGAGAACTGCATTCCCCAATGACAAGAATGGAAGTAGAATCATCTTTACGAGTCGATCTTCTAATGTAGCTTCAGAGGTTCAATATGGTGGAGAACCTCACTATCTTCACCCACTCAGTGAGAAAAAAAGTTTTGAATTGCTGCAGAAGAAGGTGTTTGGAGAAGAAGAAGAATGTCCTCAAGCATTGCATGGATTGGGAATGGAGATTGCTGAAAAGTGCTGGGGATTGCCACTTGCACTTGTTGTTGTAGCTGGAGTCCTAGCAACTATAGAGCATGATATTTTGGTTTGGGAGAAGTTTGCTGAAAGTTTAACTTCAACCATGGTGTCTGGTACAGACCAGTGGAAGAAGACATTGGAGCTCAGTTATGAGCATTTACCATATCACTTGAAAGCATGCTTGCTGTATTTTGCTGCATTTCGAGAAGATGAAAAAATTGGTGCCAAGAAGTTGATGCGTCTCTGGATTGCAGAAGGGTTCGTGGAAAAAATTGAAGGAAAGAGATCAGAGGTCATTGCAGAAGAATATCTGATGGACCTTATTGGCCGAAACCTGGTTATGGTAAGTAAAAGCAGATCCATTGGTGGAGTCAAAACTTGTTACATTCACGATTTGATATTTGAGTTCTGTAAGGGCGAGGCGAAAGAAAAGAAATTCCTTCAGGTCCTGCGAGGATATGATGAGCTTTCTACCTTTAATGAGCCTCCCAACCTACCTCGGTTGTCCATTTGCTCCAGTAAAGAAGATTTTATACAGTCAAGGCTATTTTGTCCGCATTTAGCCAGCCTGCTATTATTTGATGCTACTCCAGGATATAAGAATTTTAAGTTGCTTAATATCTCCTTCATTTTTTGCATCTACAAACATCTTAACGTTTTGAATTTAGAGGGCATTAACCTAAGGCTGAAGGAGCTTCCAGCTGAAGTCGAATCACTTCTTTGTTTGAGGTACTTAGCCCTTACAGCTCTGGAAATGGAATTCATTCCACCATCTATAGCCAAGCTCTCACATTTGGAAACCTTTTGTCTATATTCTAATCGGATGGTTTCATTGCCAGATAGCATCTGGAACATGAAGAAGTTGAGGCATGTATTTTTGTGGGCTGGCGTCGTTATTGGTCTTTCTTCCAATGACAACGTTGTTGAAAACCTCTCCACTTTACCCAATTTAGACACACTCTCTCGTTTGCGTCTTTATAAAGAGGGAGAGAACTTATTGAGAAGGATTCCCAACGTTCGCCGACTTAAAATTATCGATCATCAGACTGGAGTGTTGAACATGAGTCGACTAGAATGCCTAGAATCACTCACCTGGTTGGGCAATTACTCCTCACGTTCACGGGTACATGTTGAGCTTTCCTTTCCCATGAATTTGAAGAAATTGTGTCTTCACAATCTGGGTCTTCCCTGTAGTAAAATGTCATTGGTTGAACAACTACCCAACCTTGAAGTCCTCAAGTTAAGATGGCCGTTGTCAAGGGACGGCGGCCAAAGATGGGAGCTGATGGAAGGAGGATTCCCTAAACTCAGGGTCTTGACCTTGGAAGAAGTACAGGTTGTGGAGTGGACAGAGGCAGACCCTAACAGTGGTGAATACTTCCCGTGCCTTCAGCAATTAAAACTCCACAAAATTTTTAATTTGAAAATGATGCCTGCTTGTTTAGGGAGTACATCTACTCTTGAAACAATTAATGTGAGTTCTTGCGGAGATGGCGTCAAATCTTTAGTACGGGAAATTAAAGCAGCACAGGAAGATAATTATGGAGATGGGAATCTGAAGATCATTTATGGAAAATATTGAAGGGCATCAGCTGGTGCAATATCTGGTAATTTTTTTTTGTTGTCATCACCATCAATTGGCTTGTAGAAATAATCATGCTTTTTATTTTTAAACAAGTTTAATTTATATTTACCATTTGGTAGCTTTTTTGTACTTCAGTTGCCTGTAATGCATGCACGAGCACATTGCATGCTGGTAAATTCCAAAGCCCCAAAAAACCTGAGAAATTCCAGAAGATGTGGCTTATGGTGTTGAGAGTTATAACTTGTAAGGTTGAAGAAAATGCAATATGCTACATGGCCAGAATGAGTTTATCACTCGAAGACTTCAGCTCAAATGATTATTTTTATTTTTTACTTGTGTCAGCTTCCCTTTTATTTTTTGGACAATTGACAATGTTGATTATTTAGGTTTAGAATGAAGGTAGGCTGCATCATGGGTGACAGATGTACTGTAACACAAAATATGTTTTTCAAGAAACACCCTCATTGATGTACATGTTTATTCAACAGCTGTAAAACTTATTTGTACGGGCTTATACGTTGTAAAATGTACGCGGAGATGGAATCATGGAATATGGTTTCCCTTCAACAATCAATCTTAACCATTCAAATCTAAGTGAGGATCCTTAACCGATTATAAGGAATAAAGGATCCTTAACCGATTATTTGTATGACAATTCTGTGTTCTCTGCTCAAAAAAATTGGGCTTCGTCAATTATCTTTTGCCTCAGAACCCTCTGTTTAGTGGGGATTTATTCCTAGTCTATCATCCTTAAAAGGGAATTTTCGTGCATGAGCATAGCCACAAAAGCTTCTTTCTCTTGTTCTTTATTAGGGGTTTCAATTTCTTGTTCTCTCCTTTTGGCAATTCAAGCATCAACAAACGCAACTTTTAGTTGCTTAAATATGTTCTAAAGAGAAAAGTGCAATTTCCAACAGAATTTTACATACCTAGTGGTTGCTATATGACTGTTCTTAATCATTTTAGATGCTATATGCCTTCAGAAATGTGGATTGTGCTAAAAAGGGGAAAGAATAAATAAAGAAAGGAGGCACATTGATAAAAGAACTTATGGCTATATTACCCTTTTGACTAAATGTGATGAACTATTTATTGAACATAGATGATGTCAAGGCAATCCCCAAGGAAAGGGCTGCCATCCTAATAAAACAACAATCCCTACATGGAAAATCAAATAGCTATTTGCACCTCTAATTCACAACTATATGGAAATCAAATAGCTATTTTTTTTTACAAGAAATAGATGTATGGCAAGTTTTATGAGTGTAGTAATTCATAGTACATACTACAAATAAGTCCTCCTTATGCGGCTAATTTTAGGTGGTGCAAATTCTTTGTTATATATAGATAACATACTATTGAGCTCAGAGATTGCAGCACCATACTTCCATAGACTATATCTTTACCAAGTCATTGATTTCAGTGCTCTGCCTAAAGGCTCTGCTGCATGTTTAATATCTTTACCAAGCCATTAATTTGTTGACAAGAAACAAGGTTTCTTTTGCAAAATTAGTTCATTAAGTTTCTCCAAATAATTAGGGTACAAAGGTAAATTTTCACAATTTTTTGTCAGCAATAGTCCTACCCCTAAGGGAGGTCAGTGCTATTTCTTAAACCATAGGAGAGGTGAGTGCTAATGTCAGAAACCCCAGAAGAGGTTTATGCAATTATCCCTTTTCTAAAGTTATATAGCTAGGCTGGGCAGTTAAGTACTGTGAAATTACACTGCAACATTGTAAGTTGACTAGTATAAGTGAAAAGATAGATAGTGATTGACATGATGAAATTCACGAGCATACTATGATTAGGGATACGGGGCAGGGACGGCCTATGATTAGTATCGTCTAGTTAACAACACTAAGGGTTGGTTTTGGTTCAGCTACATGCAATTTGAAAATTTTGGACAAGTTTGGAAAATTTTGCTAGCTTGCCAAAAACCCTCAATTTCAAGAATTCATAGCATATAACAACACGTCCACACATTTCCAACCCATTCAAATTCATAACACAATCACACCCATGACAAACTATCGAGTTCCTTGACAATGTTCAAAACCATTAGTAGTTTGGTAAGGGCCAAATCCAAATAATCAGAGCTAATATTTGCTGTCAACACACGCGTCATTCACTGTACATCCCTAACCCTAAACATTGATAATCCTGCACACGATTTAGTGTCTCCACCTATGCTTATAGCCAAAAGGCTGTGGCTGTAACAATTTTCAAAACAATGGACTTTTAGAAGTCATACAAACATGAAATATTTTCCTAAGTCATACAAACTGGGATTCTGGCATCTTGTAGAACCATGTTGTGGACTGAGTTTTGAGGGTCGCAAACGATTTCAGATGCTAGCTCCACATGATAGTGCCAAACATGTTCCTGAAAAAACGTTGGGAAATTTAAAAGTTTATTTATGGTATATGCTTTTGGACAAAGCTTTAGAAAAAAGATAGGGAGAGATTAGATAATCGCAAATATTGTTGTAATACTAGGACGACTACCCCAATGCCTCATAAACTTTGTAACAAGAACATCACTGTCGAGGTTGCCAAAAAATATCAAGAAGGATAGGACAAAAAAATAATCAATGTACTTGTTTGAGAAGATAAACTTAAAGACTGGAATCTTAACACTAGTACCTATTTTCTGTGAACTAATGCGGCACATTGGCAATCCGAGACTCATATTCGGCTAAATCCAATATACACTTGTAGCTCTCTTTTTTTTTTTTCCCCGAACATGATAAATGCTATTTTGCACATACTCCTACTCTATATTAAGAGGAAGGGGTGGACCCAAGAGAATCAATGGAAAATCCGGAGGGATTGAACCGCCACCGGACCAGACGGGTGCCTTTTGCACATGTTAGTGAAATTTTCAAGAAATTTTGGATTAGAATGCATGTCAAGAGATTCAATATCTTGACCTACACTCAAAGAGAATTTTAAAACTCTCCCTAGTGGCCTAAAGTAGTTGGTCAGTATACACTTGTAGCTCTCGGGGGTAATCTAATGGTGGATGCCCTATTAGGGCAGGAGGAATTGAGGTTGGGACAGGGAAAGTCTTTCTTGAAATCCCATCACCCTCTCTCAAACAGGACCACCCCTCTCAAGAAGAGTTCTGTAACTTTAACTAATATAGTGTCAAGGGACTGAAGGACAAAAATTGAAAAAGAATTATATATAACCTGAGACATATTGATATGGCAGTTGTGTTATACCAATAAGCAATAAAGTTATATAAGACAGCTATATAATTACACCCGATTTCCAAGTCTCTCAACCAGTCCAAATTATTACACAACCGAAGAAAACAATTACACAACTCAATATACGGGTGAATCTATGATGTTGCATTACTTTTATTACAAACTTTTTTAAAATTGAAGCCTAAGTACGAAAAAAAAGAAAGAAAAACAAAAGGGACAATACACAGTTAAAAAAAATAAAAGAGAAAAACACTAATAAGCAAGGCATTGAACAGAGACTACAAAGTGAACGAGAAGATAGGAATTAGGAAGGGGAAGATTTGGGGTATGTTGAGATGCTTCAAAATCTGCTACACTGATAGTGCATAGACAATGCATTACTTTTTTTATCCTTGTACCATGTCATATATTTCAATTACTATACTCTAGATAGTAATCCAATTACCAAAAAATAATGGGAGAAAAAATATGCAAACATTGTCTTGAAGAGTTCTTACTAAGAACCTATAGTTTACTTGAAGGGGAGGGGAAAAAGTAGAGCAGAATTTTTTTAATTTCATGATCAAGAAAATACTTCATAAAGTATGGCAAATAGAAATAAAATTTCAAATAGCATTGAAAAGAAATATAATGAAATTTGATTCTTTTAATCAACAATCACAATCTGAGACAACTTTTCCAAATTCTAAATTCCTTAAACAAAAGGCTAATACATCAAAGTTAATATTTTTATTTGAATATAAGATATTGAAGCTTCACCAACGATTTGCACAAGATTGGAACAAACAGGTTCCGCATACCTGTACAAAAAAAAAAAAAATGTACAAGAGACTCGGAGCATTTAATGAGTAACCTTCCCGAGAATTTAACAGCAAATACTAAATTCGCAAGTAAAATCCGAAGAATATGACGTATAATATTCAATAAACATAAGAATGTAGCAACTTTCCCGGTAAAATTCATATTAATTTCCTCCAATAGAAACACAAGAATACCATATATGCTCATCTTCCTTCTGTTGATTTTTTTCTTTCGTCCGAAAAGTTGCTTTCCGTTAACTGTGTTTCTATCTATTCTACAAAATACAAACACTGCTCCTCGGTTAATAACCATGCACTACTCCTTGGTTATTACATCACAACACTGACAAATTACAATAACAATAAATTGGGTTGTTTTATTTTTATAATTC